TTTTTTTTGATAAGCATCCCAAACCAAGAAACCCCATTAACTGATACCAGATATTATTTACTTTTAACAGGTCGATTGGAAAAAGCAAAGCAAGACAAAGACTCCTTCGTGTTCACTCTTACCAACCCTTCCCAACACAAACCTACCAAACTCAACAGTAAACCTGATCTACACAATAACCGAGGTGGCATCGTGTGTTCTGAACTAGCTGGACCTTACTTTGGTACTAGAAAATATTTCGACCTTAAAGTTCTTCAGAGTGATATGATTAATAAGAATATAAGTAACTATGTTGATTTGGGCCATGGTTTCGAGTGCCCCGATGGTCTGCACACTAAGATGTTCATGTTTGGTAAGGGAACCTTTTCTTTAAATGAAATAGAAGTATTTAGTGTTTATTAGAGTGAAGGCGTTTATCCCGTGAAATAGATAGAGATCTAGATGATCACATGTTAAGAACTTTATATCGTTTTTATTCACGAGTTTCCATCTGATGCCGCGAACGAAAATATGGAAAACGAGTCAATAAGAGAGATATCAGGCTCTTAGCATGTAATAATTCGTTTATTACACATTTAAGGTCGATAGAATGACAAAATTTACAATTTCCAGTTCACCCGCCGTGAAGTGAATGGGTCTCCTGTGGACGCATGCGTGTCGTTTTGGCGCGCTTTTTTGATAGCCCGAAGCAAAGCACCTGTATCACTTCACTTATATAGTTTTTAGTGGCCTTGGTCATTGTAGTCGCACTGTAAATTGATAGATTGATTTTATTTGGCCCGTGAAACGATTTGGAATAATTAGAGTCCGATTGGAATTGTGGGGGACTGAGTGTTTTCTCGTTAAAAATTCAATATACCCTTAGATAGTTTGCCAGCACAGCTCAAAGTTAGTATATCAAGATATTAACTTTTTGCGAACTACTAATTAAAACCACAAACAATTTACAGCTTACGACCCACAATTCCTTTCGGTCTCAGATTACAGATCTCCGAACGACAACGTTTTTTTGAAATAGGTGTATGTATACATGCTAGGGGTTGTGGTGTTTACATAGTGTTTCTGAAAAATGTAATACTGGTTTTATACTCAAATTTTATTGATCACTTTTAAAATAAAATCTATTGAAAAAATATTTATTCTCTTCGCTCGATTGATATCTATAATACAGATAATAATACAGATTGGGCTGCCTGTGGTTAGATGGCAGAACTCCCTTTGTTCTCGGGACGTGAATTATTTCTCACGTAAAACGATTATATTTTTAGATTGCCTTTTCTTTCTCCCCGCAAACGGCAAACGTGACCACGTTTTTATAGTTTTCCTGTATTTTACTTTACCTTTTACAAACCTTCTCACCAAGCGCAAATACTCTTTTGTTTTTCTACTACTTGGACCTTTTTTGCGATTCTTTTTTAGTAATTTAAAAGAATTTTTTACTGGTGAACTGACGTTTCACGTTTGCCGTGAACGTAAATCTAAAACTCTCTATTGTTCCTGCAGTTCCTGTCGTCTGACGTGRCTGCTGTCACGTCGCGTGATAGTGCAAAAACATCTAAAAATTCTAGTTTTTAATTTAAAAACTTCATCGCCACAGCTAGATAAACACATATTTATATAGTTGAATCCGTTTACTCAGTTGGCTCAATTTTGTCACTTTTACTATATTTGTAAAATAAAATGAAAATTTTGATGAATATATCAGTATTTACGTCGCTCAAAAGCAGGGGGACTGATTGCTTAGTCTCCCGAGCCAGAGGCTCACGTTAGAAAAGGCTTTCGATCGACACCAGATGGACTAGATTTTTAAAATTTAATTTTTAAGGCGGAAGGAAAACCGGAGAACATAGTGAAAAGAGAGAACCAATCAAAAAGCAACTTTAACTCACATATGACACCGAGCCCAGGAATGGAACACTTACCCGGGTGGCTTTGATGAGAGGCGGCGCGTGACACGTGCTTCCCATATTATTGCTCTGGCGGTTCACTGAAGAAAAAAACGACACATGCGCAGAATCATGAAACTACCTGACAACGTTTAGTGTGGGCAGTAGTTGTTTGGGACAGCGAGAAGTACTGTTGCTGGTAGAAATTACCGTAGCAAAACTAACCTGGTTAGTCGTCTCATGCAAGCGTCAACAATATTTTGGAAATATTATCAAATGAACAGTACAGAGTCATGAATTGTTAAACTGGTCGAGGCGCGAAAAATAACAAAAGCAGAGCGGAATGAACCTAATCGTTACTGAATAACCGGCTAATGGTGCCATTTGGAATATAGCGTTTTAACCTCTTTAAATTCTTCTATAAAAGACCGTACTTGGATATGTACGTGGGAATAATAAGATATGTTACTCGGCAGACGTGTTTACACAGCATTCATTTGATTATACATGGTTTACGTTATTGAACAATGGTTTCTTGCTGTTACTAATATCAATACGCTAGTTGGTCGCTGCGTTGAATAATCCTACCCATCAAATGGTCACACCAAACGTTTAAGTAAATCTTTCGTGCAACCGAAGTCAGCAGTGATGGCTAGGATATCGATTTACAAGCAAACCAAAATCGTTTTTATGGCGTTATTTATTTTATTTCTATCGTTAAGTATCTATCGCGTGTTTCAAGATTTGACCCTACAAGAAAGACACGCAAGATTTGAGGTACTGGTTTCTGGAAGCCCTTTGTGTGCTGCCAGTGATGAAGTGATAGATCGCTTAGAAAGACTTACAAAGGATTTAATACATATTAGAATGATTGTTGATAAGGATCCTACAATGGCAAAACAAATAGATAGTTACTACAATAACCTGCAAAAGTTATACAGTGAAATTCAGATTATCACAAACAAACAGCCTCGCTCAAACAGACACAAAAACGACCAAGTGAATCTTCACCAAGATGATATCACACCTGTGGTGTGCCCAGAGATCTATCATGGGCCTACGTTTGGATATCCTATGTATAATAAAGGATTCGATACAACAAATTGTTCGACAAAGGTTCCGGTCAAGGATCTTGTTACTTTAATATTTGACGATGTACCTGTTGCACGGAGATCAGATGAAGGCGAGATTATCGCTGATCAACCACCGTACTACTATGAAAAAATGGTTGAATTTATTAACAATATTGACCAGTTTTACCCTGGTATAAAAATGAATATCGTCGTTAATAAAACAGAGAAAACATTTAGAGGACTGAGAAACAAAATTAGAAGAAAAGCTTTAAATTTTACAAATGTYGGGGTCGTTCCGCGTGGTCGGGTTCTTCAGGAACTAATAGAGCAGGTCGACACTCCGTACCTGGCAATTGCAAACCAACTCAGCCATTTTACAGGCGAAGTAAATATTGACAGATTGATTCGTGTGCTTTCAGCTCGTAACTCAACTCTTTTCGTAGGCGGAAGCTCCAGAAATCTTACTGGACATTGGTCCAATAATTGTCAACGTCTTCAGCTCAGGAATTTCACACTAACTTACAAATCAGGTTATCAAAGATCTTTCAATGAGTGCTTGGTATGTGATCATTTATCAGGACCTTTTTTGACAAGAACTAAAACTTTGCTAGCAATGAAATTCGACCAGACTCTAAACTATGGTATTTACGAGGACTTGTTTCTAAGATTGAAATACCAGCGTGCAGCTGGTAGTCATGGTGACAGAGTTCTTAGTTGCCCGGATGTGATGTTTCACGTGCAGAAAAAGAACGTAGAAGACATTGATTTGCAACAGTTTGCCAATCGTCACGTGATCRGAAAGATCATAGAGGCTGATGGGAAGGTTCGATGGTATGGTTGAGCAGCAGTTAGGCGGAAACGCGAAGCGCCGGCATTGCCAAAAATCACAAGTCGAAAAACACCAGGGGGGGGGTGGGTTTTTGGAGGTCGGTAATCCGCCCTACAGGGGGTCTTGCGCGATCCGCATGCAGCGCGAAATGTGCCTAACTGCTGCTCTGTTGGGGTCGCAAA